AATGGTGGTGGTGAAAGAGTCTCAGACTCTCTACGTGCCGAGCTCAGAAAGGAGAAAGAGAAGCTGGATGAGGCCCGTGAGGAAATTTTTCGTGATCCTGATCGTGATTTACCGCCTACAGGAGATCGAACTGGGCCGAGGCGAGACGAGGAGTACGCGGCTGAGGTGCTCAAGGCAATAAAGTTAGAGGAATGTAAGGACCTATCTGTTGAGCGACGGGCTGATCTGAAGTTACTTATAACTAAGTACTGCCGAGCCTTCCATCTGCCAGGTGAAATATTCAGTGAGATTGAAGGGTACAAGCATCGTATTGAGACGGGTGATCACCCACCAATCTACTGTACTCCTTATGCCATCCCAGAGAGCCAAGTGCAGTTCGTGAAAACTGAACTAGATCGGATGGTAGCCGAGGGGATCTGTAGACCAAGTAATAGTCCGTGGAGCTCTCCTGTCTTGATTGTGAGTAAGAAAGATGAGCATGGCGAGAAGGTTCGCCCTAGACTTGTAGTGGATTATCGCAGGCTAAATGCGATAACTCAATTCGACAGTTTTCCACTACCTCAGATCAATACTCTACTCTCAAAGTTGTCTGGGAAATGCTACTTCTCCAAACTGGACATGTACTCTGGTTTTTGGCACATAGCCATGGACGAGGCCCACATTTGTAAAACTTCTTTTACTACTCCCTATGGTATATTTGAATATCTCAGATTGCCATTCGGGCTCCAAGGAGCACCAGCATCCTTTATGCGCATGGTCGTGAGTGTTTTCGCAGATTTGCTCTGTGAGAGCGATAGTAGGGGCCATATCCCTCTTGCGGCCTACATGGACGATCTGCTGGTGAGTAGTGTATCTTGGAAGGATCATCTGGCCCATCTCGCTCGAGTCTTTGAAAGGTGTCTCGAGAAGGGCATTCGTCTCAAACCTTCCAAGTGTTATTTCGGACTGCCTCAGATCGATTATGTTGGCTATCGTGTATCCAGAGAAGGCATTTCCCCTGATCCCTCAAAGGCGAAGGAGATCTCTGCTATCAGTACTCCGACCAGTAAGTCTCAATTGCAAGCCTTTCTGGGTCTGAGTGGCTACTACCGAGATCATATACGTGACTATGCTTCCCGTACATTTCACCTTCGTCGACTTACTCGTGAAAATGTCACGTGGCGATGGGGGGACGTTGAGCAGTCAGAGTTTGAAGATATAAAGCATTCTCTTTCTCACTCTGTTCTCGTTCATCCAGATTTCACCAAACCCTTCATCGTACAAGCTGATGGGAGCAGTCACGGTCTCGGAGCTGCTCTCTGTCAAGTGGATGATAACGGTGTGGAGCGTCCCATAAAGTTCGCCAGTCGAGCTCTGTCATCAGCCGAAAGTAAGTGGTCTACAGAGCAGGTAGAGTTACTTGCCGTCTTGTGGGCTGTTGAGCACTGGCACTACTATCTATACGGGCGTCGCTTCACAATCGTGACTGATCACGATAATCTTCGATGGTTATTACATGTCTCGCCTAAAAAGCCCCGGCTGTGTCGATGGGTTCTGAGACTTTGTGAATATGATTTTGATATTATCCATCGTAAGGGGGCTCAGCAGTCCAATGTAGACTTCTTCAGTCGATATCCTTCCTCCGGTCCTGCCAAGAGTAATGGCCGTGATGGCAATGATCGGTCGTATTGTGCAGTGTGTCATAGAGGAGGCAAAAGGCGGCGGGTTGTGAGTGACAGTGCTACAACGACAGTATCATCATCGTCTGATCTGTATACTTGTGTTAATGTCGCTATCAACTCCCAGGAAAAGCCTCCACTTTGTTTGCCAAGCCGACATGAGATCGTTGAGAGCCAGCGTCGTGATCCTATTATCAGCCAGATCATTCAAAATCTACCGCAAGGTGGAGATGATAGCCTCTATAAAT